TACCCCTCTTTGCGCAGCGTTCTAAGGATACGCAGGGATTTGTTAGCTTTAATAAGTTTTTTCTACACGTGCACTGAAAATTTGCTGTCACAAAATCCCTACTTCTTCACATCTTGGTATCATCCCATTAGCTGAAAAGAGATCGCCTCTCTTTATGATCGTCAACTCTTTACATTTGATTGGATTGCAAGACATTCCATTTGTAGTCGTCCAATCTAAAAACTGTGACTCTAACAGATCGGAGTAATGTACCTTCTTCCATACAGGAGCAATAATTTTCGAATCATCAGCGTACTAAATAGCGTATCATGATCACCTAAAGTGATGTGAAGATCGTTGAGAAAGATGTTGAAAAGGTAACGACCGCTAAGCTACCTTGAGTTGTCCATTTGTTAACCGGTTTTCAGTCGCACTTAAAGTTGTTGCAAGATACCCTTTGTTTTGTATCCTTTAAAAAGTTCAAGTACCAGTTGGTAATATATGGATTGAGTGGGAGCTTTTTAAAATTTATTAGCAAGAAGTTCAGGCACTTATTCAATTCAGATAGTCTTTTACCATCAAAAATATTATATTTGTCTCCATTTGTCCTCTATAGCAAATGCATCATTGTCTTGTTTGTCTCAAAGAAAAATGTTATATTTCTCCCTCACTAATTATCACATCCGAGAAATGTAATATCTAATCCAAATAGTATATAACCTATTATACTACTACGTGAGAAATTTCTGCAATTTGATTGGCTTAGAGCAGTGGTATTTCAGCTGAATTTGAAATACTTACATGTGAAAATTACAAACCTTTTGCGGGTAGTAGTATAAACAAATAATAGCATGATTTGTTTGTGATATTTGGCATAAATACCACTCGTGATATTTCGAAATTGTCTCAAATTTCACTCGCCTAATGGCTCGTGAAATTACGTATAACAATTTCGAAATATCACTCGTGGTATTTATGCCTAATATCACTACAGATCATGCTATTGCCTATACTAATTGGCTGGCCAACTTTTGCGCAACAAATATTAAGCTTAATGACAGAGAAAGGGGTATAAGGTGTTTTCGATATAGAGTTTTTCAGAGACCATACCGTTACTTTTCAATCGCCTTCAAAGTGATTTTTTCCTTGTCCGATCGCTACAAAATTTTCACCAGTAATTGGTTATGGCTTGAAATTTGTGAAAATGCAGTTTTAAGTAAAATCGATATTACCATGACAACACTAAACAAAAATTTTGAAATTGATAAAGCCGAATTTTCTCAATGGGTACCGCCAAATAAAACTCTCAAGAAACATCAAATTCTAGATCTTACCTTCGGTTAATGCTACACTCATCGGATTTCACTGTTTTTTTTTTGTTGTTTATTTTTTCGCTAAAAACCAACCAAAAACTCGCCATTTTTGTTTGGATTTTCAACTGCGTAGACTTTCATGGAAAGATTATTAAAACCAAGGGTTGCAGAAACTGCGGACAGTACTACCTGAAATCGTAACATCTCTCGTCTGCCTTTATTGTGTTTCAGCTTTTAAAATGTAATTTGAAATTCTTAACGAAAAGTAGTTTTTAGGCTATAGTTGCGCGTGGGCGAACATGTTACTTGCAAGCGAATTAGGAAAAAGGGAAGAAGGCGAGTGGATAAGGAAAGTGCCTTTTATGTCTCGTTTCTCTCCAATTTCCTTCCAGGGTCGTCCGCTCTCTTCAGTCCCGCCAAGTCATCGGCCGACTCTTTCTTGCAGACCACAGGGATGAACTTATTTTTCTCTGTCCAATAATTCATTTGCTCCAAGCTTTTCTTTACCATATTATTTTACTAAATTTTTCGAACATTCATAAGTACACTACACAACACAGTATTAAGGCTGGTTCTCAAAAGCAGAAGACCTAAACCAATCACAAAGCGTGAAAACGTGCTTTGTGATTGGTTTATTCTTCTGCTTCTGCTTCCGACTCCGACAATCTGGTTTTCACTAAATAAACGACGGGATCGTTAGCGAAGTTGGAAGAAAATGAACCGTTCTAATTCTTCCGACTCCGATTCCGTCGCGCTTATAACTGCGCTTATGACTCCGATTTCTTATTTTCAAAAGACCATAGGCGCTCTTACGACTCCGCTTACCATTCTGACTCCGACTCCGGCGCTAATGAAAACCAGTCTTTGGGCTATCTCTACCAAAGGTTTAACTTGACTATTAATGTGGGAGAAGGGTCTTTATTTTTAGTGGCTCTAAAATTTTCAATGAACTCCCTTTAACACAGCAAACGCTCAGAGCATACAGACTTTCCGCCGCCGAGCGAGGCATCTTTTTGGTAACTTTTAATGAAGTTTTCTTGAAATCTTAGTATTATAAGGATTTTTAAAATGTACGTGTACCGTGTACTAAACTTTTGCATCTATTTTAGGGCTTTTAAATATACAGTTACAATATTTTATTCTATTATTGTGTTTTCGGCTTTTACAATGTAATTTCAAATTCTTAACGAAAAGTAGTTTTCAGGACGCAGGACACCCATGGAGACCATCACTTTGAGGTGATTTGGCCAGCCTGTTGAAATAAAGTGTTACTTTGCTTTACTTTTGACCGACTAAAAGGGGGTGTCTGCAGCTTAGCTTAGGGGCACTCGCTATCACGCCGCTTATATACAAACTGCAAGCCAGTTAAGTAATAATATCATGAGACGTAGTGTTTCATCACTAGATGAAACACCGAGAACCGAGAAGAGAGTTGAAAATACGACGCGCAGCGGAGTATTTAAGACGAACTTCGATGTGGTTCATTAGGTGATGATTTACTTTGTCGAATGCTTGATATTATGATATTATGCTTGATATTATGATATTCTCAAAGAAAATGATTTTAGAAGGAGAAATTAAGGATGCAAAAATGACCAGTTTTTCATCTGATCTCCAAACGCTCATTAAACATTTATTTCTTTTGTATTTTAATGAGTTTGAGAATGTTATTTTGAAACAAGATGAACGTGAATAAGAACCTACCTGCACGAGATGGGACGGATGATTAGAGCTATAATCACCAGGAAACATATAAAAAGCAAAACCAGGGCGACAATTCCGCAAGTCCTCCAATATTTTAACTCTGTTGGTGGAAAACAATTTTGAATAGTTAAGAACTGTAAAACCTGTGGGTGTCATCATCCCTGATATTATTCATTCAACATAATGGCTGTTTGTGAAATCAGTTGGCTATTTACAAATTACGCGTGGCCGAAGATCTGCCGAAAATTTGAACTCGGGAAAACCGAGAACAAATCCAGCTGGTGGCCAGAGCGGTACTCGGAACCGGGACCGTCTGAATACGACTCCAACGCCATGATCGTCCGTTAAGTAAAAAATTATTGGAGGAACGACGCCAAACAAAGCCACCAGCACAGCTGTTTTTGTTTTGCTAAGCTTGAGAAAATAGTTGGACATTTTTAGAAGGCTGGCGACGACGAAAAATAAAGTAGGTAAATTACTACGTTAAGATAACAAGAAGCCATCTGAGGCATGTTGACTGCTTTTTGGAAAATATCTGCAAGATATAACACTGTGAAAGGTTTGAACCCAGGAGTCATTTCATAAGTAGGTTGAGTATGATCGTCCGGGTGAACGTACAGTTGTCCTGAGTAGGACTGTTGATGTTGGCAGGGACTTACGTTTCGACAACCTGTGCAGTAGTTGTGATAATTATGAAGATTTATGCAGTTCAAATGGAAGGGTTACATGTATGTACAAAGAAAATTTTGGTTGTTGATGCACGAGGCTTTTAAACATTGAAAAAAGCAACTTGTACGAGGGCTTCAAAAGGAAACCGTTCTTTTAAACAACCAAGAAACTGTTAGACACCAATTTGTAGAACTTTACAGAAATAATGCTCAGAAACACACACGGCGACTGGGATCGTTATTTATACAAAAGTAAAAAAGTCTGTGAAAATAAGAATCAACAAACTGCTATAACAACACTTGTTGATTTTTATACCTGTCTCCATGCGGTCATCACCCCTTTGCAGAGCAGACTGTGACGAAGTTGTAGTTGTTGGATTTGTTTGAGTTGGATCACGACATTTCAGGACACCCACATCTTCTTCTGGACAGTCATCATCTGGAAAAATTGTTTTAAAGAATTTATTTACAGTCGACTCTCTCTTAACGGACACTTCTTAAGATGGACACCTCAATAAAACAGACACCTAGAGTTGGTCCCTACCTTTTTTTCGTCCCTGTACTTGACTCTCGATAAGATAGATTACTAAAGTCGGAAAAAAAACTCATGACCCTCTGGACAACCTTCTTAACCCATTCGCCCCTCAAACGCATGTATAACCGTCCGTGCAGACCAACGAGGGTTGCACCACTTGTTACACCATCAGTCTTAACGGTCGAGGACAACTTTGTCTCCTTATTTGTGCAGGAGGAAAAGATCCTTCAGACCATGCCAGAATGAGCACAATTCAATCAAGAAGACCGCAGAAAAGTTTAAACACCATGAAAAGTTGACCCAAAAATTCTAACAAAAATCTTGTTCCACTACCCACCCGCACTTCCTTCCACCGAATCCTATGATACTAAAAGCTTTTCCATAGAAGTGTTCCACCAGAATGAGAAAGCCTAGTAAATGTCCAGCAAATAACAAGAAAATGGGCAAAGAAGCGGAAAGAAGAAGGAAGGAGAGAAAGCAAAAGGTAAAGTTCGAGACTACTGGATGACTTTTAAACACAAAAACTCTTCCAAAATTTTGCTTTCTACACATGCCCAAACTTCAGAGCCTGATATTTTAAATCTGTAACAGAAGGCTGCAAAGTGCACAAACTTTAAATGGCATTATGGGACTTTTTGGCAGTCTAAAGCCAGACTGTGACCACAAAACAGCTCAACTAGCTTTAAAAGCAGTTATTGTGGTATCAACTTCACCTTGAAGTTTTTTCTTCAAAGCTTTTTACGTGAAGTTAACATGGCATGTACGTGTACAGTATATGTACACTGTACTTTAACACTTCTTTTAATTATACTGTAGTAATTGAACATTACCTGTATGAGTTAGATTACTTTTTTTGCAGACATAGACTTCAATTTTCATAAATATTCCGTTTTTTGTGTCATTGCAGTGACCTCCAGTAGGGTCATTGAAGTGGGTCTGTGTGCCATCAGATGTCCCTACAATAGATAAACAATGAGGAAACATACAAAACAATTGTTGACTTGACATGGAGATGATTTTGAAGAATATCCTTTTATGTAATATACATGTAGCGTAATAAAACCTAGTTAGTAAGTTACTCAAGAGAGCAATCTTATAAAAACGAGACCCAGAAGTAACTAATAATAATAAGAATTTTCACACAAATACTACAGTAAAATCATTGGTGTTTGGACTGGGACTCAAATGACTTTGGACTGAGCATCAAAATTTTACATGATAAGTGCATAAAACTCAACATCACTGATCATGCATTAATTTTTTATGTGATATAGAAAAACAGAACTTGGTTCATTTAACTCTCAGGGAGTCACCACTGTGGAAACTTTAAGGTAACTGTGACTCTTCATCACTTACCACTAAAATGACACTTCTTTCCTCCTCCAAACTTCAGCCCATAATTTGGGTCCCTCAGTCCTGTAATATTGAATTTCTATCACTTACCAATAAAATAATACTTCTTTCCATCTTTAAACTTCAGCGAGTTTGGGTCTGCTGTAAATTCGGCAAATACCACAGGAAAATATTTCAATGCTGTTGGATCATTGCATCCGAATAAAAGTTTGCTAGTATTGCTTAATGATGTATTACATTGGTCAAACACACTTCTGTCATAAGCAATCCAAAGGTTTTCATACATGGTTGCAGATTGAGGTGCTGATGAAGTTTTTTGTAACACAGTGGCTGTGTTTGGACATATGAAGAAGACTTTAGATTGCAGTCGGACTTTAAGAGTCATGTATCCTGTGCTACAACTTTGGCTCTTGTTTCTGAATCTATGGAAATATTGAAGTGAAAATTCAGTTTTGTGTCAACATGTAGATGTATTACTAATAATCTGCAATACGGTACGGTATCGCAGTATCGCTGCAATATGTGGCGGTGGTGGTAGCGGTGGAGGGAAACTCGGAAAACAATAGAAATGTGGTGGTGGTGGTGGTGGAGGGAAAACAAGATTGAGGAGGGAAAATAATAAAATTGTGGAGGAGGAGGTGGGAAGTAAAAACGAAAAGGGAGAGGGGTAAGTAAAACATTGTGCGCAGTGTAAAAAAAGGATGGCTTGCCTTCTTTAACTATTTTAATAGAATCTTTAATCTATTAATTAAATCTTTTTGAAATTATTTTAATTAAGGGTCATAAAGTTGATTTCTTGTCTTAAGAAACGTGTCTGGTTTTATTGCTAGCAATTATTAGTCGCGTGTTTCAATTGATCCGTCTTAAGTTATTAATTGTTTTTTGGGGGTGTATTTTTCTAATAATACGTCAAGATTCTCCCTTGGGTTTTTTACTGCAGAGCTAATTTGTATGCAACGGTGGGCTTGTGGACTCGCATAATTACCTGACTAACGGCGCGTGAAACGCTGAGACTTAAATACTTTTTCATTTCCTCGAGATAGAAAGGAGATAACGGTTCTGTAATAGTCAGACAAAATTGAAATAGGGAGTTTTCAGCTCCAGTTTGTGTATATGTGCGTGTGTTTTGTTTATATATCCGAGTTTTAGCGCTTAATAAGACCGGACGTAAACTAAATTGAAATAAAGACTTTTCAACTTCACTTTCTGCAAGTGTTTTGTTTATATATCTTAGTTTTAGCGCTAAATAAGATATAGGAAGCCGTTTCTCGCGTTGCTAGGAGATCGCTTCTCTTATTCCTATTTTCCTTTTAATAGATGGTCTGAAATCTGGGCTCAAGTTACTTAAAGGACAAGCTAGAGCAAGCCTATTGTGCCTATTGTAGTAGAGAGACGATCATTAGTAAACCTATCCACTTCATTCTATAGTATATGGAGGAAGGCACCTAATTAGTGTGGAGGAGCGCACTTTTTCCCTAGGTTATAACAATGGGTGACGTCATAGACTATCCCTAAACCATCCTTACCTATCCACCAAAACGGTTAAGTTTCAACATAGTAGACTACTCAGGACAAGTTCTAGCTCTGTTTCAGCTCCTGTTAAATAATTTAATATTTGTTTTTGCTCCTGTATGCTTTTAAGGCAAAACCTGTTTACAGCTGTATTATTTTACAGGAGCTCTTTTTTTTGCCTTCCGACTGGATTCTTTACAGGATTACAAACGCATATCTCAATATATCTGCATATTAGTGGCAGCAGCTTCCATAAAAATTTGTTATATATGTTACAGGTCAGATTTGAATATCTAATATCCCTTTATTTAGCTTGATAAAAGCCACTTTTGTAGGAGTATGGAATCAATAAACTTGAAACCTTTAAGTCAAGAGCACGGAATGAACTTTCCGTTCGAGAAAAATTAAAATGGTTGAAGATCAAAGCAAACATGCTTTAATACAGAGTTGAGAATTAGTTCTGTTCGGGAGGAAACCTATGAATTAGAGCTTGGGGGTTTATAATAAATGAGACAGACAGTATAAATCGTCGCAGAATATTTACTTGAATACACACTACAAATCATTACTTACAAAGGATTCTGAGGATCCCAGAAAATGGAGTCGTACATACTGCTGCTAGAAACGCAGACCATGTTGATGAGGAGGCCAAAAACAGAAAGTAAGACTTTCCGCATGGTAGATCGATAGACGTTTCCACGCAAACCTTGAAGTTCTATAACAGCATCAGTTGAGCTAATTCATATGTTGCTATCGAGCCTATCGTTCTTGTTTTTACTTTAACTCCACAGGAAAATGGGTTGAATAAAGTGCAAAACCTGTAATTGGAAACGAAATATTTAAGTCTTCTCTCATTGAATGTTCACCTACTAATATAAAAAATCATTTCTCATGTATCACCAGGCTTGTAATTCACCAGCAGCTTGAAAATCATCGCAAAGAATTATTTTCAACTGAACTGCACTGGGAAATTTTCTGTTGCATAACTTCATACGATTACAATTTCCAAAAAGAGACTTGGTCACGTGACATCGCCCAAATCGAAGATGGCGGGGAGAGATTTAAGTATCTCTCATTGCGCTGACTTTTGTGTTTCTTTCCATCTCTACTCTCTTCTGAATTGGTCTTGTTTTTCACTGAGCCTAAATTGAATGCTTTTTTTCAGAGGAGACGTTTAAGAAAATCGCGGGAATGAGCAAGGTACGATAGCTAAAGCGACCACTTGTTTTCAATAGGCGAATGATCTCTCCAAATGCCACAACAAGAAGTCTTTTTACTCCTTTCTACTTTAGCCGAGTCCTTCGCAGTCGTACAACAACCAACAAGCAATCACTTTCAGTGTAACTTTGAATTTATAAGGCGAATTGCCAGTCCGATCCGATCCGAGCAATCCAACCGAGTTTTGTTAACGGCCCAGAAATTGGCGTCACTCATATCTAAAAAAAACACAACTCCTACTATCCAGATTCTTTTTCCCCTTAAAATACATCTTTTGTGTAGGCATAGCGAGTACAAAGCAAAAATAAAAAAGGGGGGTCATCGTTTTCGTTTCAGCGCAAAATGACAATAGAGGGACAATTTCGGCTTCAAATAATCATTTTGCGCCACTGTGGCGAGTTTTAAGACAAACACCTTTGAGCAGGGTAGAGTCATCAAAATCGCCATTAAAAGCATTTGGAATTCAAAAGGGGCTTTTTTACCTCTTTTAAGGCGACAGGTGAAAACCACCGTCTACCTTTTAAGTCGCATTGTTATGCGCACTAGGTGATGCGCAATGTAAAACCAGGGAATTACTTGGGAACACAAATACCATAACACTTTGCTCCATGGATACATAGAGCCATTACCATAGATCACTGATTCTGTGAGCTAGAATAATTCGGTAAACTGATATAACTTTTCGCCCGAAATTACAAGAAGCGAATTAGCACGTGACGAAGCCAATTTCCCTGCGTTGTTCGGCACTTTTGAAACGAAAACAAAAACGTTTGGTCGCTGGTAAAAGGTTAACAAACAAGCCCTTGTCTTATATTGACTTGACGCGAAAGCATTGACAATTAATAAATGTAGATGTAGATGTCTGTTCAGTCTGTTCTGTTTGACTCCCGCTACAGTCAAGTTTAAATACCATAAAATTCTGAAAATAAGCCCCGGGAGATATATTTTTCAAAGGCCTTTTTTGAGGGGCTTGTTTTTGGAGGGGCTTATATTCGGAGGGGCTTACTCTACGGAGGGAATCTTGTGTTTCAAAATCAGTTGGGCTAGCCTTATAGTTGGAAGTAAATTTACCGTTTTTGCTTTGTTTTACTTTGTATTTGAGGACAATTATCCAAGTACAAGCCCACGGGGGGCTTATATTTGGAGGGGCGATTTAACGGCACGTTTTTTGCGTTACCGGTTTGGGGGGCTTATATTTGGAGGGGCTTACTTTCGGAATTTTACGGTATCTCGTCGGAAAATGACCTGCGATGAAATAGTCTTGGAGAAACCTATGGTTATCATGCTTTTTTTCTGCGTGTTTTTGTTTATAGAAAGTCCCTGTTTATAATTAGTAAAATGTTGCAATGCGTGTAGAAGAGTCAATAGGTTTCAAATTGTAAATAGTGCAAGTTATGCACCAAAAACAAACATATTTTATAATTGACAAGATGTCATTCATACAAAACTACACAGACACAATTGGGCAAAATTTCAGATAAGCAACCTGTCGTTAGTCATTTCCTTTTTTTTAGTTCGGCTAAAAGTGAAACTTTTACTCGTCAAAGTGTAAGATGAGAGGTGCACGAACATGAAAGCACTGACGAGCGGTGTGAATTTCTGTACATGCGAAGAAATAAATAGTTTTCTCGAAATCCTTTCGACTAATGAAGTTTCAAAAATCTTAACTCAAGTCGTAATTCAAGAGTCGAGACTCTGAGCAGTACTGCTTTAGATAAACGACATGGCGTGCTTTTGCGCATGCTGAAAGCGTGATTGTGCTTCTTCACTACTTCGAACGCAGCTGTTGTTTAAAAACTTTAATAGGCTCTTTTGTTCTACTTGCTCACGCTTAATTGCCTTAAGCGTGTCCTCTGAAACAACAGAAACTGATAATGAGGCAAGTTGGCTGGCGTGCTAAGGCGACGTGTTTCTTTTGTTTTTAAAGGGGAAGCGTGTCGTGAACTAGTTTTCACCTTCAGCATAAAAAAACTCTGGAGGGTCACATTTTTTTCGACAGTGGGGATGTTAACTCATACAAAGTTTATGTTCATGTGTGTATGCTCTTTTTTACTTCCTATAGGATAATGTGCTACTTACAACGCAAGGAAATACTTCTAGAAAAATACCTTTAAAAAGAAGATGGAGGCTCTTCCCAGAAAAGAGATGACGTCATTCAAAGAGGACTTGTTTGCAGCTTACCATTGCACTGGGCTGTAGATGGGGACATTTTATAATCTTCCGCTTCTTTCAAAAGAAGGTGTTAGTGAAGGCCTCTCTGAAAGACTTAGGTTGATCAGTCGATATTCGATCAATCACCCTCTAAAGAATCCTTCCCTCTACGTGAAATTATTTGAATATTTGGTTGAGAATTGTTGAATTGGACCAATCACACGGCAAGGTTTTATTTGCATCACTACTCTACTTACACTGCGACTGTTTATCCTTCATATTTGTACATTTATTTTTTCATTAGAAGTAGCATGAACATCTGCACGTTTCCATGGGCGTACCTTGAGGTTTTAAAGGTGTACGCTAGGAAAGAAATGTTGGACCTCCGAAGGGGGCATGCTCCTTCAAAATTGTTTTTTTTTTTTTAATTTAGGGGCTCACAAATACCATTTCCTGCAATTTCCGCAGGACATTTTTTCATTAAATAAATACGAAGGAAAATGCATTAATTAGTTCTTTAATTTACATCTCTGCTGTTATCGGTAAGGCGCAATGTTTACGGAAAAAATGTAAAACAGTGACGCTATCCAGGAGGTTACAAGCAGAGGACGAGATGTCTACCCTTCAGAGGGGTAAAAACACCAATATGATGCGCAAGATTTATCAATCATCCCGATCATTAAAGATAAAAATCATTTCAGGGAATAAAATGTATTTTTTTCTAGATTTCAGCAGTAAAAAGCAATTGCCAGATATTTTTGATCAGCACTTTCGCTATGCCTGTGATGTTCATTCATACAATACAAAATACGCTTCAAAGGCCAATTGCTATAAAGAACATTTAATTATGGCTATTAGATGCTGGCAAACGAACTGCATCGACCATGGCTGTTAAATAGTGGCAGGAATTAGCTGTTTAACTGGAACATGTAAAACACTTCAATTTTCGTAAGAAAGTAAAACAATATTTATTAGTAAAGCAAATCCACTGTCAGAGTTAATAATCGCATACAACATCTTACGTAGCTATTATACTCTTTGGCTGCAGTTTGTTTGTGTGCGTATTTGGATGCTATACCCCTGGTTTCTAAGGAATTTAACTTATTTTGAAAAAAATCCTGTTCGAATGACTTTGCTTCATTTACAGCTTTGACACTTAGACATCTAATCAGCGTCATCTTATCTTTACTTACATATTTAACAACAAAAAGGCCCGCACGAAGCAAGCAATTTTGCTTATCTACAGACGAATAAATGGCTTACAGCTGTTTCGGATATCATAAACGTCTTTGGAGTTTGGGTTTTTCTGCGACGTCAATCAAGTAGTGGTGTCCCAGCAGAATCATACCCTTTTCTGGGGCTGCTAAAGTGGGGAGCAAAAAATTAATTCATGACTCATGAATAAAATGCACGGAAAACGTCTTGATTTTTAATATGCGGGCATGCTAAGTGTCTACTTGTCAAAACAAAACAAAAGAATCACGTAGCATTTTCAGGCAATTACTAGTTTAGATTGAATGTTTTTATTGTAGTTCTTGACTAGCAAGTTGTAATGGCTAATAATCACTTTAGTCTGGTCTCGTCTTTGGTACGAAATTAAAATGTAGTCATTGCGTGGTTTTAGCTAGCGTTTTCAAATGCAAAAAGTGCAAGTATAAGACTCTTAGCTCGCCTCTTATGTTAAGTAGATGCTTAGGAAGAAATGGCTCATGCCAAAAATAAAAGGGGCGTAAAGCTTTTTTTCTTTTGTCAAGACACCGCAAGTCTGCATGTTTAGGTAAGTACTAGTTTAAAACGAATGAAATTCTTTATACTTTTAAGTAGTAGGTTGTAATAATAATAATAATAATAATAATAATAATAATAACAATAATAATAATAATAATAATAATAATAATAATAATAATATTCGCTACAATACAGCCTCAATCCAGTTATGTAGCCTTTGTGTTTGGACTAAGGCACCGTTGGACATATTTTTTAAGAACTCTGCCAGACATAGCCCCTTTTCTTGAACCGCTAGAGCGTGCCATAGCGGGTTTGCTTGTGCCGGCTATCACCGAACATGTTACCACACAGGAAGAACGGGATCTGTTAGAACTCCCAGTTCGCTTAGGCGGGCTTGGGCTAGTCAATCCAGCCAGAACCGCATCACAAGAGTATGAGGCGTCTGTTAAGATCACAGGCCCTCTTGTGCGGCAAATTGTCAAGCAAGCCCACGACCCACCGGATGAGACGGAAATTAAGACCTTGCAAGCGAGTGCACGAAGAGAAAAAGATGAATTGTTGAAGATGCAGTGTGAGCAAG